CAAAACATTTTGGGTAAAGGTAATGTATTTAAAATACTATTAAACTATATTATAATGCCACCATTTTAATGACTTAGACTTCTATAACAAACAGTTTCAAACAGTTCTTAATATAGTTTCTAATGCCTTAATACATCAATGGATAAGAGAGTTTATTTCTCAATTTAAAAAAACCATAATTACCAATGTTATAATATCCTGCAACAAGTTCTTAATGTCATCTTATTCAAAGTACCTAAATTAAAGTCAACCTTGAGGCAACATTAAAATATTTATATATTTATACACATCTATTAAAATTACAGTCTACGAAAAGTACCAAGTTCTTCAGTACACAGGCTAAACTTATTTAAATACTTACAATGTAGCATAAATGAATTTAATGATGCATGACAGATTTTAAAGTTATTTTATGGATTAATATCATTACCAAATGCAGGAAAATATAAATGTAATATCTGAGACAGCTAGAACTACATCTCAAATTAATTCTAAATAGCTTAGACCTTTTTACTTAGAATCATATCCCTTTGCAGTCAAGTGACTTAAATTAATTTTGTATACAACATTTTAAGAGAATAAGCATTAAATCCAACATAAATAACAAATGCAATAGAAGCCATGTACCTAGGAATAAAACATTTGTATATATATTTAATATCATATAATCACACAGACTGAACAGGGCCTTTTACTGCATAAAAGGAGAAAATAAAAGATGTTGATGATCTCATATTACAGGCCCATTACCATGTCAATAACTAATAAGAAAATTAGAATCTGGGGGTCGAATTTTATTAAAATTAATACAGTTGACCCTTGAAAAACACGGGTTTGAACTATGCAGGTCCTTTTCTAGGTAGATTTTATTCAATAAATACAGTAAATGTATTTTCTCTCACGATTTTCTTAACATTTTTTTCTTCAATTTACTTTATTGTAATATATAGTATTTAATATATATAACACAAAATATGTTAATCAACTGTTTATGTTACCAGTAAGGCTTCTAGTCAATAGTAGGCTATTAGTAGCAAGGTTTTTGGGAAATCAAAAGTTACACATGGATTTTCAACTGTGCACGGTGCTGGCACCCCTAATCTGTTTTGTTCAAAAGTCAACTGTGTTTTGAAAAACAAAATCTCTATTTGAATAACCAATTTTCCTATACTAATGAGATTACATATATAGCAAAACAACTAAGTCAGTCTCCTGTCCAAAAACAAGACTAAAGACTTTTAAATATAATTTTTAAACATTTAAACAAAACCTTGCAAAAAATGAATCAACACCAGGGTTTGTTTCTCTTTGAAAACACTTGTAAATGTATGACTTAGAAATAGGCTTTAATTTTCAGACAAAGGGGTCCACAGAGAGCCAGACGATTTCAACATTGTTCATTTTTTCCCCAACTCAAATGAGCCTTTAAAAAGAAAAACTATGTTTATTTAGGTAATAGTGAGGTAAAGCAATATATTAGGTACTAAAAATACTGTGTTCCATTTTTTACTAACAAGAGTAATTTATACGTACCATGATTAAATACATATACAAAATATTAACACCTATAAAATCCCTGCAAAGGAGTCTCAATACTGAAACGTAACCATAAAAGGGGCCAAAAAACAAATTAAAGCACAAGAATCTGCTATACGGTTAAAAGTATTTATTTATTTTTAATAGGTTACATAATTTTTAGTGGAAAATTAGGGAAAGCTCAGTTCATTAAGAAAGTATTTTCACAAGACAAAAGGTGCTAAAAGAACCTATTTTTTTTTTGATGGTTCATGTAACATGAAATTTATTTATTTTTATGGTGACATTGGTTAACAAAATCCAATAAGTTTCAGCTGTACACTTGAACAGTAAGGCATATATATATTTACACTGCATGTTCACCTCCCATAGATTTCTTTCTGTCACCACATATTTGATCCCCTTTTTTCCTTCTACCTCCCCCCTCCTCCCACTCCCTACCCTCTGGTAACTACTAGTTCATGTCCATGAGTCTCTGTTTGTCCTGTTTCTTTGTTGCTTTTAGGTTTATATCCCACATATAAGTGATATCATGTGATTTTCAGCTTTTTCTGTCTGGGTTATTTTGCTTAGCATGATTATCTCAAGGTCCATCCATGTCGTCGCAAAGGAACCTATTTTTTTCAGGACAGACTTAAATCTTGCCAGTCTTGTCCATCCGTCCTTATAAGAAAGGAATAATAGCAACTAAAAAAATAATCATTTCACATAATAGCCATAATAATTTTCCATAGCAAAATAAGATCTTATAGTAGAAAGCTACTGTTTTAAGTCCAAGGAATACGGTGATAATGTTTATGTTATGTATGGTAAAATGAACATACTTAAGAAATTATTCTAACAGTAAAGTGTTATATTCTTGAATGTCCAATCAAAGCAATACTCAGCTATTTAAACAGAGAACAGATTCTACATCAGGATAAAGGAAAGCATGTGAATGCGTATCATCACACAGAGAGATGAGGTACAATAAATCTTTCCACTGAACTGCAAACTTTGGAATGTCTTCAGTGGAGTTGAAGGAATGGGTTCAGTATTTGGACACTGTATCCAGAATGTCTTAATTAAAACATGTAACAATAGTACTCAGAATTTCAGTTCTTATAAATGGATGAGTTTATTATAAAGTAGTTAATAGACACTTTGTAGGAGATCCCATAAATGGCATATAGGATATTTTCAAGAGCTGAAACTTGACACATAAGATCTGAATGTGTATAGAATTTGGGAAAGGGAAAAAAAGAAAAGGGTAGCGATGACTGGGCAGAAATAGGCTAGAAACCTCCAGGGAGCTCCAATACACACCAAAGATTTCCCCTCCTTTGAGCAAATATGTTTAATAATGAGATTCCCAACGTGATTTCCGTCCAGCCCGACACTCCTCACCTCTGGTAAGTGTGGTCTTTGCTTGCTAAGGGCCGATCCTTCAAGAACAACTTTTTCAGAGATGTTTCCTTGGTTAATTCCTCCAGCAAAGATATTTTTTTTGTCTTCCTTCTCTCTGATTTCTATCTTTGTCCTTGGAAACTGAAGGTCGTTAGAACTGGTGGCTTGCGGATGCCAGTCTTTGTCTCAACGCACCACAAAAAGAAAACGAAACGCCCACTATCCGGAAGTTTATTCCCATGCCAGGTAACTCGGCAGCATTTACCATTTAACCAAACTGAAACGTAGAATGTAAATGCCTTTGATATTATCAATAATGAAATAATAATGGTAAAAATAATAAACGTTTACCGAGGATGTCCTATGTATTAGGTAAGCTATTACGAGTCTTTTCTGTGTGCATCACAAGTACATTTCAATGCCACCTGTGAATGCTCATGAAAGAATCTCTTGAGCTAAGTAATATTTTGCTGAGCTACAATTTCTTTCCAATATTATTCTAATTCTGCTTAAGCTCTTTAATTCATTCAAGGTTGTCAAGGTTTTTAAAAGGATTTTCAGTGGAGAGCATCCCATTTGCCAAATATTTCCACTTAGTTTGAACGGTGTTGTCCTATTCTATGTAATGATAAAATGCTATTTAAAAAATAAACTATATAAATGTCTAACCCGATGTACTGTATACTTGAAACTAATAATAAAATAAAAATTTCTTTTTTGCTGTTTACATGTTAATACTAATTAAACACATAAACGCTTACTCTATGTTAGACATTGTTCTGGGTTTTCCAATATATTAACTCATTTAATTCTCACAATAATCTTGAGATAGCTAATATTATTATCTCCATTTTATACATGAAAACTTTGTAACTTGCTCAAGGTCACACAGCTAGATTGTACTAGAGCTGAAATTTCCAATGATTATTTTGACTTTCAGTGTTATTTGAAATCATCAATTTCCAATCTTTCTTTAAAAAAAAAAAAAAGTCTTCAGCTTCCTAATCATAACTACACTCTCAAAGTATCACCTTTAAAAGAGTAAAGATTTGGTCTTCTCACATTATTTATCTATCATCGACACAAAGAAAGTTAGGCTCTTCTTATGCTCTCCTCTGAATGCCTGGTCAATAAAGAAAAGTGATTTCTAGAATTATGTCTTTCAAATTGAACTAAGCAATTAATTAAATTCATATACATACTGTCCTAGACACCATATAAATAGTGCGATTATCTGAAGTGGAATTTGGAAGATCTTTTACAGTAATAAGATGATTTCGGGGCCGTCATGGAGCAAAAAGAAAGGGAAGCAGCTCAGTACTTACTGGTAAAACACTATTGATCAAGATTGTTTTGAAGAGGTTTTTTTCCTTTGTTTTTTCCCTCAGCTTAATCATAAGAACTTATTACTATGCATATCAATTTTGGATATATCTTATCTGGAGCCCTAACTGCCGATACACTGGATCCTTGCTAATGTCCCAGAAAGAATTCAGGATAAATCATGCCAACCCATTCCACCTCCCTTGAAAGCAACCGGAGCAGGGACACTAGGTCGGGTCACTAGGCCTCTAAGAACATCACTGTAGCAAAGCTCCAGAATGCTCAGTGCAGGGCTCAGTACATGCTAAATTGTGAAATCAATTTAGTAGGTCACAACCTGCACTTTTAAAACTTAACATTGAGTAGGACAGGAAATATCAGTGTATCACCATAGTCAGGGTTTTCTATGATACTTTTGTTTCCTGTGTTTGTCCGTGTGTAGGTCATGATGTTGTAAAATGCATTCCTCGTTATGGATCTTGAACCAGAAAGTTTGTAAAGCCACTGAGCTAAAGGGTATTAACTGTGTGCATTTTTCTACTACTAAGCCCTATATTTAATAAAACAGACTGCTGAATTCTTCATAACCAGCGAGTAGAGCCAGTTGATAATAAAAGGAACCTTAAATTTCATCCAGTCCAACTAATCACCCAACATACAAAGACTTTCTAAAAGATTCTGTCACACAGCATCTAAGTTCTGGACTTCGAACACTTAGAGTTCTTCATTACAACAAATCAAAACAGGACATAAGGTTGCTGCTTTCACATGACAGCTTCTCATGTGTGTGAATTTAATTCTCTATAATTTTTTTCTGAATAAACACGGGTTTATCGTGGATGATTTCGAAGATACTAAAAAAGCATAAATGAGAAAATAAAAATTACCCATAATCCAATAACCAGAGCTAACAACTAGAAGCATATATGTCTCCGTAACCTGCTTTTTCCTTAATATGAAATAAACATTTTCCTCTTCTCCATAATCTTCTACAGCACGATTCTAATGGCAACATAGCAATCTAGCATATGGCTGTACCATAACTTTTTTCCTATAATGTATTTTTAAAATCCCCTTAGATGGCTTCATTATTTTCAAGTTTCATTATAAAGATATCCTTGTACATAAATTATTTCCTTATGATAATTCCTGGATTAGAATTACTAGATAAAAGATATGAAAATGTTTAGGGTTTTGATAGATACTGTTAAACTGTCCCCAGAAAAGTTGTGCCAATTTGCTTTTTGGTGATGACACAGAAAGTGTACTTACTTATCCTCAGCCTTACCAAGAACGGGTATTAATCTGTTTTCCATCTTTGCCAATTTAGTACCCAGAAAAGTCCATTCTGTTTCAATTTATAGTGAGGTTAAATAATTTTTGACATATTTATTGGCCATTTTTATTTCCTCTTTTGTGAATTAGCCAATCATGCCCTTGGTCCAATCACCTTTTGAGGCTTGGAAATAATTGATTTAGCTCTTTAAATATTTGAAGAAGGCTCTTATGCCCAGAGGAACTATTTTCTCTGTTCATGTGAATACTAGGGGCTACACTTCCTTTTAAAAGCTGAAGATTATATTAGCTACTAGAATGACTAAAGTCCATAATTTTTCCCCATAAAGATCACTTTGCTGAGAAACAGAGCAAATGAAAGTGATATGAACTTTGTCAATGTAGCTAGAAAAAGACAATTTAAAAATATTTATTTATATTCTAACAATTAAAAAGCAGAAATTTCCCTTACACCAAGAAAATCAATAACAGCAGTAAAAACCTCTCACCAGAGAGGAGTTGGTGATCTTTTCTAAACCCTTCCCTGGACCACAAAATGCTGTCCAGTTGCACTGAATCTCGTACCACCAAACACAAACAAAAAAATCTTACACTATTGTTGACCCCAGGGAAAGTGATTAGAGCTTCCTCCAGGTCAAATGAAGAGAAATTTAGCTTCTCACTTCCCATTAGTATCCTCATGAAAATGCCTTAAAGAGCCTCAGAAACAGTTGCCCAAAGAGGAAGCCAGTAAATTTCTAAATATCACCACCAAAGTGAGGTCCTGGTGCCTCTGAAACACCCCACACGCAGCTCATAAAAAATAAGTGGCTGTCCTCAGTCCTCTCTTTCACAATCCATCCTCCTCCGTATCCAATCCAAATAATCCCCGAATCTGCCCATCTCTGCCGCATGCCTTATTTCAGGTCCTTCAGTGGCTTCCCTGCCATTCTTCTTCCCTCCCCTGTTGCCCTCCTTAAGTCTACCGTCTATGCCGTCTCTAAACAGGTGTCGCTAAGAAATTTAACTACTCCATGGCTCCCCATTGTTAGATCAAGTTTCTAAGTTCATTGGCACGGCACAGAAAGCTGGATTTACATATGCCTAGAGCTCTCTCGACATGTGGATCCTCAGAATGTTATGCCGGTTTTTGCCTCCATGCTTGGGCATATGCTGTTCCCCCTTCTGAGAAACCCGCCCCTCTCTCCCATCAACCTGCTGACTAATTTTGCAACCTTGAAGACTTAGCTGAAGGACAACCTCCTCTTGGAAGTGTTTCCTGATCCAATTTTCACATCACAGGCTGAATTCACTGTCTTTTCTTGGTACCTATGACAGTCTGGAAAAGTTAATAAATAATATTCTTGCCTATTCGACGCTAAACTTAGCCTAGTATGCTGTGGGGACTCCCACCGCCCAAGTCACATGGTGTTATAATGAACCCTCTGACCTGTCTCCCCTGTTGAAGGCCTTGAAGTGTCATCATTTCACTGTATGGAGCAGCTCTCAGGGTGTCTGGCACATAGGAAGTAATCAGTGCTTGTTGAATAAAATAACTTAATAAAAATGTTATGATATGTTTAAAAATTCACCTTATTACTTTCATCTTGGACAAACCAGATAAATCAGAGGGTAATTACTAGCATAACATAGGCTTTTTGTTTTACAAGAGGACTCTTGCATCCTGGATTTTAAAAATATCAATTTCCTCTACTGCCCGTTAAATAACATTTGACATACATGCAATCTCATGGACACATACATTTTGTGAAAGATAAGGCACATTTATACAGGCATTTAGTCATCAATTACATTTTTAAAATACAGAGTGCCAACCATAAAAAATAAATTAAAAAAATAAAAAATAAAATACAGAGCACCAGACACAACTTAGCATGCCACTGTATACTTATTATAATAAACATTCAATAACTATACTGTAACTTTTTAAGACTTGAATACTTATGCTTTGCTCATAAGTATTCTCTTTTCTGGGAATGCAGACTCCATACGCTCTAGATGGGCCCAGAGGGCATGTCTAAATGTGACCCTGTGCCCAGCCAGAGTAGATTGCTTTAGGAAGGAGCACCTGACACAAGCTAGGCCAGAGACTTTCCCTGAACAATTTTTTTTGAAAAACCTTACGATTAAGGAACATTTGAGTTAATCCCTTTCTAGTGGGAGCTGCCAGATGTTAAATGAGATGTAAAACTTGAAAGATGTTAGTGGCCAACTTCCTTGCTGTGTGCAGAAGCTGATACACCCTCAGAAGCTGATACACCGTCATTTGTATCAAAGAGAATGAAACCGACATGGAGAAAGAAACAGAAATGAGAACTAATGAGAGTCCAGGAGATGACAAACATACTGGAGATGACAAGAGTCCAGGTTATGTTCAATAACTGGCCCCCATCTCCCGGCACCTCTGCCATCCCCATAGATCGGTTCTGTGAGATTCCACTCCCTTCTAAGAGACTCACGTTAAGCTTGCTTGGGGTCAACTCCTGTCACTGGCCAGCAAAAGAATCCTGACAGTACGGATAGGTAAATGAAAAACGAATTTGCCTGAACTTTCCCCCACTAATTCATTTGTTTAACTGATTTGACCAAATAGTTCTGCATAATGAAGACATGAGCTAATTTACATGAGTTTCCTATTCAGAAGAAGGAAAGTATTCATTTTGAAATACGTTTCAAACAAAAGTAAGTTTAAAGCAATATCTGCCAACGCACATGTGAAATGTTGGGTCACAGTGTCCTGCACGTAAAGAACTTGTCCTCTTCCCTCCAGAGGACTCCCACAAATTCACTGTGGGTTTGGAATCTCTGTGGGAGAGGCCAAGACCCAGAAACGGCAAAGGCTTCCTTCTCAGAGTTCTTGCTTCTGGACCCCTCAGTAATGCAAGACGCACGAGAGGCTTTTCTCACAGCGAATTTTTCTAACGAACAGAACTTAATGGCAATACGGCACTGCATCAGCAAGAGTTGGAACGCGTGTTGGAATTCGTAGGCGTCTGGACACCACGGCCCCTTGCTGACGCCGACCTTTATGGCTGGCTCTATCGGTTGGCAGCAGGGCATTACTGGCTGGGGTACCCCTTTTGGGGGCTGCTCCTCCAGGCTGCGACCGCAAGCCTCGAAAGAGGCACGGGAGTGCAGGGACGGGCTGCTAAGCGGCGGAGGCTGGACAGCGCTGGCGGGCCCTCCGCCTGCGCGGACCCGGGGCTGCAGAGGGGAGTCGGAGCACCGGCTCACGCGGCACCCAGCCACGGCTTTCCACTCGGGGACAGCACTCCTTCAGGGGGCACGGACATGAATGTCATAGCTGGCGGCTCCAGGAATGGCTTAAACCTTGGTGCTCTGACTGCCCCTGGCTCGCAGTCTTCCTTTCCGGCTGCCCTGCTCCTCGGCGGACACCTGATCCTGATCCCGGGGTGCGGCAGGGCTCTTGTCCTGGGGTGCTCCCCCAGGTTTTCGGCTGCGTTTTTCTTTGGTGTGCTGCCCGGAAGCGCTGTCCCCTTGGACAGAGCTCTCTCTGGTCTGACTGGTCTCTCTGACAGGCTGCTGGGAGGGGCCCGCACCACCCTGCCCTGGAGGACCCGAGGCGCTCTCTCCCCTCTGAGACCTCCCGCCTTTACGAACCCCTCCTCTCCGCGGACGCTCCCTGGGAGCAGAACCGGCCAGTGCGGACTCCGCAGAGGCCCCATCACTCGGGAGAGGCCTCCTGCGTGGATGCTGACCCTCTGGAGTTGGGTGATCACTGCTGAGGGTTGTTTCGTTTTCTTGAGATAGTCCTCCAGAATTCTCTTTCAAAGATGGTCCTTTTTGGGACGCGGCTACCTTCTGAACCAGGTCGTCTGGTGGGAGGTCGGCAGGCACGTTTTTTCTGGAGTAATGGACTTTTTCCTTCTCTTCCTGTGACTGGGGATCTTTAGGCAGCGGACCGCCGTGGGCTGGCTCAGGGCTTTCTAGGGTAAGGGCCTTGCTTCCCCGGCTCCCCTGGCGTCTCCCAGGAGGGCTGGGGCCAGGGTGGTTGGACGCCCTTGGGCCGGTCGGTCCACTCGGGGATTCTGGCTGCAGGGCTGTCTGGTGGCTTCCGGGCCGCGTCTTTTTCAGATGTGCTGGTCCTTTAGCTGTCTCTCTTCGGAAAGGGAGTTTTTTTTTCCCAGCTCCCGTCTGCTGTGCCGGCTCTTGGTTTTGGGGCGAGGCCTGCGCATCTGGAATCTTCTTGCTGGAGGAGCGGCCTACTCTGGGCGCTTGCTTCTCCTTCACCGACCTTGACTCATGTCGAGCCCCCGCGTTCCGAGGCAACTGCTGCTCCCCAAAGGGCGTGGGAATGCGAGGGAGCCTGACCACCTGAGCCCCCTCTTCCTGGGGCGGCGCGGGGCCGGGCTGCGGGGTGTGCTCCCGCACAGCGGGACCTAGAAGAGGCAATTTCACTTCCTGGGCCTGCTGAGGACTGTGGCCCACGTGGGGGCTCGGATGTCCTGGAGGTTTGGGATGGGGAGGGCTGAGGAGAGGAAGTTTGCCGGGGTCTCCTTCCTGAGCTGGCGCAGGCCTGGGAGAGGGAGTGGCAGCTGGATCTGAGGCCCCTGAAGCCGCTTCCCTGCTGGGTGAGAGGAGTTTGGGTGTGGGCCTCCGACTCTGCAGCGGGGCGAGGACCCGAGGCTGCGGCAGCCTGGTGGGGGCCAGCAGGCCTCTGGGAAGCTCAGCCCCTGGGTCTTCCCTGTCCTGGGTCTGCTGGGTACTTGCTGGATCCCGGGGATGTGGCAATCCTGGGCGAGGAGTGCTGACCCGGACAACTTCTGTTTTGGGGGTTCCCTCCTCTAGGGGTTGCTGAGCACCTTCCGGAGGTGGTCCCAGAATCTTAGCCCCATCAGGGTGGGGAGGCTCTTCTGGGGGATCATGATGGGAACCGTTGGGTGGCAGATTGGCTGACTCAGTCTCCTCGTCCTGGGTTCTCTGGGGGCTGAAAGATGTTGGGCCAGGCCCCTGTGGCGGTTCAGGTGGTGGAGGGCCAGTGAGGGTCACCGTGGCCTCACCCGATTCCTCATCCTGGTGCAGCTGAGGGCTGTGGGCTGCAGGTGGGTCAGGGCGCTGGGCAGGGCCCGGGGAAGCAGTGGTGGCAGGTTGGCCTACTTCACCCGCTTTCCCCTCGGATGTCTGGGCCTCACTTTCAGAGGGATTTGCGGTTATTGTGTTTGAAGAAAGATCTGACTGTTGACCGTTCCCGTCCTTCTGGTTTGGGGCTAAGTCTTGGGCCTGCTGGGGAATACCAAGACCCGGTGAGTCGGGCTGTGGAGGAAGCTCGGTGCTGGCGTGACTATTGGGAGGAAGCTCTTTTTGATGGGTTGCTGCCTCGTGAGTCTGGGAGGGGGCGGCGTTCTGATTTTCAGGGACCTTTGCATGAGCCTGCACACTAGAGAGATGCTCTGTTATCTGGCCGTCTGCTTGCAGTTTTGCCAAGCGCCTTGGGGAAGGAACCAGGTGTGCTGGTACCCCAGAGGGGGTCTTCTTGTTAGAGGGGGCTCCTGCTTTGACACAAAGAGAAGTTAGCTAAAAATATCTTAACAAATATGACTGTGTAACTTTAGAAATTAATAAAAAAATATCTTGCCCTTTTTTGATGCACATAGGCCCTTAAAAGGAATAAAATTACACACATAAAAGAATTTAATTGTCCCTTCTCGTTGGGGATACTAAGTGCCTAGAATTCTTTTAGTGGAACTTAGGACAATTTTAGTCAACTGAAAACAAGAACTTCCATGAATAAACATAAAAAAGCTTAGTGAAAGAACCAAAGTTTATATCCAGGTCTAAGAGCGGCAAGAAAATTTTCTAAGCGAATGATATTTAAATTTTTCACCATCTTAAAGGTCAACGCTGCTTTTGATGGCAGAAACTAGAACGATGGACATCTAAGCCAGATGAGGTCCCATTTGTTTCCTTGTTTAATGGCAGTCCCCTCAAAGAAACTATGAGCTGTGTGAAGAGTCATGTCAGTTTACCAATACCTAGCAAGGTGCGTGAAGCTCAGCGGGCACTCAGCAAACAAGCACTGAATGAAAGAAGGAAGGAGAAAACAGATCTGATGGAAGCACGAGCTGCACCCGAGGATCCGCCACTCAAGCTACTGCCCCGCCTCCAGCTCCAGGGCTACTTTTTTCCCAAGTCCACCCTGGTTTTAAAAATGGCTCTCAGTTCAAAGAACTAAATATAAGACCTGAAACAATAAATTGCATAGAAGAAAACAAACATAGGTACTAAACTCATGGACCTTGGGTTTAGAGAGGATTTTATGAATTTGACCTCAAAGGCAAGGGAAGTAAAAGCAAAAATAAATGAATGAGACTATATCAAACTAAGAAGCTTCCGCACAGCAAAAGAAACCATCGATGAAACAAAGAAGCGACCTTCTTAATGGGAGGGGATATTTGTAAACAAGCCCTCTGATAAGGGGCTAATATCCAAAATATATAAAGAACTCACACAACTCAACAACAACAAAAAACAATCTAATTAAAAAATGGACTTAGGACCTGAACAGACACTTCTCCCAAGAAGACATACAAACAGCTAACAGATATGTGAAAAGATGCTGAACTTCACTGGTTATTAGGAAAATGCAAATCAAAACCACAACGAGATAGCATCTCACACCTGTTAGAATGGCTATTGTAAACAAGTAATAACAAGTATTGGAGAGGTTGTGGGGGAAAAGGAACCCTCAGACGCTGCTAGTGGGAGTGTAAATTGGTGCAGCCACTATGGAAAACAGTATGGAGGTTCCTCAGAAAACTAAGAATAGAACTACCATATGACCCTCTTCTAGGTATCTGCCCCCCAAATTTGAAAACATTTACCATAAAAATGTATGCACCTCAATGTTCACTGCAGCATTATTCACGGCAGTCAAGACATAGAAACAACTGAAGTATCCTACAATAGATGACTGGATAAAGAAGATGTGGTACATATACACAATGGAATATTATCAGCCATAAGAAAAGATGAAATACTGCTGTTTGTGACAACATAGATGGATCCTGAGATTATCATGCTAAGTGAGATAAATCAGGCAGAAAAAGTTGAAAACTATATGATTTCACTCACATGTGGGATATAAAACTGAAAGCAATAAACAAGACAAACGAAAACTCATAGACACAGACAACAGTTCCGTGGTTACCAGAGGAAAGGGGGAGGGGGAGGTAGATAAGGGTAAAGGGGACCAAATATATAGTGACAGAAGATTTGGCTTTGGGTGGTGAACACACAGTGCACATACAGATGATGTATTACTGATCTGTACACTCGAAACCTATATAATTGTATTAACCAATGTCACCCTAATAAAGTAAAAAAATACTCCTAAAAAATGCCTCTGGGAGGTCACTAGCAGGGGTGATGCCGCAGAAGGTTATTGCTTCTTTGGTCACCATGACAGTGAGTTCTCGGAGTGGCTCTGGTCTCATGGACACAATCACCCCAGCAAGCACTTGTTTATGACAGAAGACCTGATATACTCTGGTGGCCCGTGTATCACCTTAACTCAGTCCGAAGGACATGGCTCTGAAATGCTAGTGGTTGGAACCGGCACGCCAGTCTGGAACAGCCTTGCAGAAACTAGTCTCAGCTCTCTTTGGGAGACGGCCGATACTCAGAGGCTCCAAAGCAAATCAGACTTCCAAGGTGGTCCCCCAGAAGCTAACCGTGCCCCTGGCCACCACCCCCTCTCCCCACAAAGCAGGATGAGCTTGGACTACTCTGGGTTCCCATGAACCTCTTAGTGGAGGGCTGTATCCTTTCTATGCAGTCAAACCACGTGTCTGTGGGGAGGGGAAGAGGGGGGACAAGGAAGAGCTTGCCCCTTAATGAGGTTTCTGAGGGGGTATCATATTAATTATTCTTATCTACCTAGTTTATGACAGTTATAAATTAAAATACAAATTTAGTCAAGAAACAAGGTTAAAATAAAATATAAGAACAGTGAAAATATCTAGAATAGGCAAATTCATAGAGACGGAAAATAGATTAGAAGTTACCAGGGGCTGAGGTGGAGTTATTGATTAATTGGGTATACAGTTTCTGTTTGGGGTGATGAAAAATTTTGGAAATGCATAGTGGTGATGGTTACGCAACACTGTGAATGTAATTAATGCCACTAAGTTGTACACTTAAAATGGTTAAAATGGCAAATTTTGTTATTTTTTTTTTAACACAGTAAAAAACTAATACATAAAAAGAAAAATATAAGAACAGTGACACCCAATGCTGAAGATTCTTTCCATCTTTAAGCCTTCCTGGTTTCCTATAATCAGACATATGAGGATCCTCCCTTGCAACTTTCACAATTTAACAATTCACATAATTTGGCAAACAGTATCATGCCCTTTATTAGAGATAAAGGCACTACTTTACGGGCTAGTAAATTGACCAATTTTCCCATTTGACTCATTATCACTATCATTTTCTTCTATCATTAGTCACAATTCTGAATAATGGTTTTCAATTATAATTTTATTTTATGATCTCTATAGCAAGAACTTAGGGCAGAAGTTGGATCAGCTTTTTAAAAGCTTTACTGGAAGCACCAACTATTCCAGAAATAGACTGGAATAGACATAAATGAAGAGCAAAGGTATCCTGAGTTGTGAATATACTGATTTTTTTCTTATTATTTATAGAAACTATACTGTTTGCTCAGGCTTTTTGTAGTCTTCAGGTTTTAGAAATGAATATAACCTGCATTGCTACAGGGAAAATAATTTAAGACAATTCTGTATCTTAACTGATATACATTTTTATTAATGGTATATGTAAAAATCTCAAGGGTTTATAATCACTCTGCATCTAAAGTTACTATTTTATATATGCGTTAAATGAAAATTCTGTTAGTCTCTCTCCTGTTGAAGGTTTACGTTTCTGGGTCCTGTTATACACTCAGAACTGATAACCTTGGGCTTACTTTTACCACTTTGTGCCACTCTCATTGTTGAAGAGGAGAAATTAAAATTTGCATTCTCAGTTACAAATCTGCAACATAAAATGACTAAACATCAAGCCATCTATTATTATTTCAAATATTTGGGAATAACTTGCGGTTTGCATTAATAAGGGATCACTGTTTCTATGAAAACAATGCCGTCAGCCATCAGACTTCTGTTTGCATTGAAGACTAACACACAGATGGCCTAGTCCAGCTGGGAAAACCTCAGCTCTAGAAGACTAGGTTCTAACAATGCTGCATAATGTTATATAGTTGATTTTTTTTTAAATGGGAATTCAGAGTGATTTCTCTAAATTAATGATTTTTGGTGACATTGAGAATACAAAATTGAGGCTTCTTATTTCCAGTCCAGTTTTCTAATTGCTCAGATAAAACTGTCTTTCACAGAATCTGAAATATTTTTTAGTTCAATTTCTTAATTTTGACAGCTTAATTATATATATATATATTTTATATATATAATTATATATATATATATATAATTATATTCCACTAAAATTATTGATTTTTGTTTCTAGGGGGTCTCAGTTATGTAAGCAATGTAAGAATTTATAAGAATATTCCTACACTACAGAAATTAAAATCAAGGTGACTCAGCTCAGAGCTGAGGCAAAGAAGTGAGAGCCGGCAGGGCTTGTGGCAGTGACTCTGCTGGGAGTCAGGGCAGACATTCGCTGAGGTGATGGTGGCTACGGCTGGGGGATGGGGGAGGTTCTCTGGCAGTGAACCTGCGAACACCTGGCCCATGCTCCTCGGCATGCACCTCACAGCCCTGACACTCAGGGAGGTAAATGGCTCTACTCTTGGGCCACCAGAGACAATGTAAAAGCTTATTAATAGGGACTTGGTTAATAAGAATTTTTTAATACTCACTTACTTGAAAAATATCTGGTCTCCACAAAGTCACTTTATTTGCAAGTTTATCCTTAAACCATCAACTGAAAAACAGTAACTTCCTCCACAGATTAACTGTATAAATAAGATAAAGTGTTTGGCTTCTTAAGAGAAACACGTTATTTTCTAAAATACTGTAAGCCAGCCAGAAAAACAGGAGCTGTTGAGGTCAGTGATTTGCTATATTAATTACAAACCCTCCCAACTCCTTTTTATAAGGCTGGGATTCTATTAGTCAATAACTGAATGGCCCAGCTTCAGTTATCAAGTGATCTGAGATTTTACAAATTCTATAATTCATACTTTTCATTAAATCAGACAGGCCTAACATAATTAGTCCCAATAAATGAAATTTTATTATACCCACTAAAATGGGAGTCCATTTTCCTATGTGCACATTATCCGGTCTATTAACTTCCCAAATAGCCACTACGCCCAGCACTCGGTGTTCTTGACGGTTGTGGAATGAGATGCAGGGACAGAGCCGGGCTCGGTCAGCGGTGCCCCCAGAGCTCCTACTCAGAAACATGCTCCTCTCAGCTGCTCAGAATGGGCCAGGCTCAGGGGACTGACTCAAGCTTATCCAAACCCACAAGGGGCTGATTTAAAAGGCAGAACACCAATTTATTAATTTACACTGGGAGATGGGCCGGCCTCAGGGAGCAGGGCAGGGTGTTCTAACGTAGGGGACAGCCCCCACAGGGACGGGTCCACCCGGGGGACCAAATTAAAGATCAGAAGGTTGCTGGGTTAGCAGAGACTGAAAGCAACAGGAGCCAGATTTCCTCAAGAGAAACTTCCACCAAGCTGTGGAAGCCTCATTAGACAGACCTCGCTTGCTGCCGGACTGGCCCAGCTTTCTGAAGCCCGAGGCCCCTCGTGGAGAATCAGGGCAGCGAGGGCTAAGCACGCAGCACGCTCCTAATCTAACGCCCCTGGCCTATGGGCGGAGCGCAGACCTCCGACCCTCCATTAATGCCCGTTTTCAGACAGGGTGCTCTTTCTTCAGGAACATTCAAGGCAGTAGGTGGTATCCTGGTCACTTGTCTCCTACGAGATGTACGTAGAAGAGAAATCTCAGCCGTCATGTGTTGAATGTTACTAGTTTCACCTGCCCACATTCCAGAATTCCAGGGTCATCTGACCTGGGGTAAGTGTGTAAAACTGCAAAACAGCCCAATTAGTTTGAATTCTGGTGAAATTATGACCTGGCCTGCCTCAGTCTGGCTAGGATGCAGCCTGGCAAGCAAAATGCTCCTTGGTCAGAATCACCAAGGCTATAAACCACACGTACGCACAAAGCTGTGGGCCATCTATCTACACAGCAGCAAGAGTCTCGAGTTAACATTTTACGGTATGTGACATGTGATTGGGGTTCAGTCCGTCGAGAGACCTTTTGCATTATTATGGTGGTAAAATACACGTCACAGGAAATTTACTGTCTTAACCACTTTTAAAGTGTACGGTTCATGGCATTAAGAACATTCACATTATTGTGCAACCATCGCCGCCATCCATCCTCAGAACTCTTTTTGTCTTGTAAAACTGAAACTCTGTACATCCATCCTCGGAACTCTTTTTGTCTTGTAAAACTGAAACTCTGTACCCATTAAACAATGACTCCCCCTTCCCCTCTCCCCCTAGCCCCTGGCAACCACCATTCTACTTCTGTCTTTATGAGGTTGACTACTCTAGGTACTTTTGTGACTGGCTTATTTCACTTAGCATAATGTCCTCAGGATTTGTCCTTGCTGCAGCATGTGTCAGAATTTTTTTTAAGGTTGAATACTGTTCCATTCTGGGTATGTACCACATTTTGTTTATCCATTTATCATTCGATGGACACTTGGATTTCTTCCACCTTTTGGCGGTTGTCAATAATGCTTCTATGAACAAACATATAGAAATAGCTGTTCAAGTCTCTGCTTTCAATTCTTTGGGGTACCCAGAAGTGGAACTGCTGGGTAATTCTATTTTTAATTTTTGAGGCATCACTATGTTGTTTTCCAGAGCAGCTATACCATTTTATAATCCCACCAATAGTGCACAAAGATTCTGATTTCCCCATATTCTCGCCAGGACTTGTTGTTTTCTGTTTTATTTGATAGTGGCTGCCTTCCTCTTCCTTCCCTTTTTTGTTTTTGTAGTAGCCATCCTAATGGGTGTGAGGTGGATTTGGGGGAACATTTTAAATACATTTCAAATTGCTCATATACCAACATCCTAAGTTAGGGCTTTAGGATCCTGCATCTGAGGAGATGCACTTATATATGGTGCATTCTAGCCGTTCACACACCATGGGGCGGGCGGGGAGCCTTAACTTCCATTTTGCAGGACAGAGCACTGAAGCTCGGAGCAGCTAAGCGGCTGACCCAAGGAGCAGCAGGGCCAGCACTGGGCTCACACGCTCTGACCAGCGCTGCTCCTCTATACTCTGAGGTGCAACCTCGTGCGGGCTGGGGCGACGTGAAGAAAAGGGGGAAGAAATCTCTTGGACTGAAACGACGCTAAATACAAGCCTAGGGAGCAGAACACCATCTCACGGGGCCCGAAGGGAGCCAAAGTTCTGGAAGGCTGAGTTCTGACCCAGGAGGCTGGTGACCTACCATGAACCTCCAAAGCCCTGCCTGGCACGTCCCCGAATGGCAATCCTCGGAGGTCCATTACGGTCACCGAGACAAGTCCGGAGGGCTGACTCCGTGCAGCTTGTCCGTGGGGACGAGGCCCCAGAGGAAGTATGGAGATTAAAGAGTTAGAACCAGCTTTAGCCTGGCTGATGAGGATCCAAATAACAATTCACAGACTCGTTTTCCTTTCTGGCAAAAATTCTGGCACAGAAGGGCTAGGACAGTACCTGCAGTTGGAGCCAAACTGCTGACAGTTTCCTCAGACAATCCGAGGTATTCTCTAATGAGCTGACTCAGCTGTTGGTAGGCAACATCCAGATCATCTACAGTAAAAGAGAGAGTACACAGAATCTCATCAAAGCACAGTCAATTTGAAACTGTTGGTGGGAATGACTTTATAGCTACGTTGAATTTTATGAATATCGCAGGTAGGCAGAGTTCTAAGAGGACCCCACCACATGAACGAGCCTTGGGTACAGCCCCTAGGACTGAGGACAATGCCTGGCAGACAGCCAGCAAGGAAACAGAGGCCTCAGTCCTGAGCCCTTGAGAAACTGCTTTCCCCCAACAATAATAGTATACTTTGAAGCGAATTTTTCCCCAGTGAGCTTACACATCAAAAATAAAGTTTTGCTGAAAGTTACTAACCTGCATTGATTACCGCATCAAAGTATCCTGGAAATTTTTGATTAATTTTAACATAAAGGTCCACTCTGGAGACAGCAAATTCAATCTCTACACGACTAAATAATCCTTTTCTCCGTAAATGTCCCTCATACTTTTTCTTGTTCATGGGCACCACCAGGATATATCGAGGCTCAAAATAGGAATGTTTCAAACTTCTTACACCCTATGCATTTAAAGAAAAGATAATAAATTAGCAACAGACACATGGATTTAGAAATCGGTGTGGAGCTGTCTGACAACATACAATATAACAAGTAGTATTACGTTGAAGAATTTATCTGTATAATTAGCTATTATTTTCCTCTAAATATCTCAAGGTTGGATTACTTCTCCCTGTTCATCAAATATTAAATTTTCATCAGAAATATAAAAATTCATTCTTCCTGGTGTCCTCTAATGAATCATTCTAATGAATGCGACTGCTAAAAAAAATTACTGGCTACAAAGAGGTACACTCACAGCAGTACGGCACCTTTATTACTGAAAAGTAATTTCGATTCTACATTTCCAAGGGCACCTTTGCGGCATCAGGAGACAGAGAGATCTTATCGGAGACAAAAGACTCCTCTGTCACCCCTTTGTCATCTCCTGTTCCTAAATCAGTCACCTGGTTGGCTGGTTCCTATTACAACTCACAGCCTCTACCCAGGGACCGAGAAGGTCAAGCTCATGATACTCAGACCCCAGGAGCTCAGGGCGGGAAGCAGTGGCAGCTGGTGCTGTGCAGACCTGGAGGGCTGGGTCACGGCTGCTGCTCTCCAGCTACTGCGGACTCCATGCAAATCGCCCGAGCTCCCCGGGTACCCGGCTTCCTCGAGGGCAAAATCAGTTACTCCAAATGGAATCTACAGTTCCTTCCAGCTCAGTCCCATAGTCCACAGTTGAACTCAGTGTTTGAAATCTTTGTTTTAAAAATTCAGGGGAAGAAATACGGGCTCTTTTAATAAAACAATTTCTAAAAGATTGAATGACATGGGCAGTTTGGGGAAAAATGGTTTTGCTGGGGAGAATCGGGGGAATAAAGCCTGACTGGTAGACTCAACCTCTCGGAAATGAGTAGGAGAATGCTCTCAGGGAGGGAAAAAGTCAAATGGGAACCAGCACACAGAGAACAGCTGCACTGGCAACAGGAAGACGTGGAGCTGGGGAGTGTTTGTGCTCAGTGATGCATCAATTTTTGTTTCTGCCTTGTCCAAGGAAGACATTTCTGGAAAACGGCCTTTTTTTTTTTTTTTTTTTTTTTTTTTTAGCATAGAAACGATGAACCCTTTTTTTAAAGGTGCAAAACCGATCAAATGCAGAAAGATCAGAACTGTAGGATTTTGAAGTTAGGAAAAGTAAAGAGCTGGAAGAAAGGTGACCAGTGTCACCAAAGTCAGGGAACACTTACTTACACCCCTACAAGGAGCCACAAAGGAATGATGGTCTCCTGCTCTGGGAAGTTATGGAGGAAGAAAGTCTTGAGAAAGATTTAGTTGATAGTAAAAGAACATAAGATGTGCCCAGATTTGGTCTTCTGTAAGTCTGTGCTAAAGGAATTATTTTTATTATAATTTGTTTTCTGACTACAAAAGTGTTATAGTGCTCAGTAAAGGTAATTTGAAGAAAAAAAAACTTTTGAAAATTCAAATATTTAATAAAGCCACATATATATTTAAAACAAATGAGTGGGATATTTATGCTTCCCACAAATGAGTGGGATCTTCATTTTGGAGAAACTTACATATGCTCTAATATAAAAGATCACTGGGAAGAAATGAGATATTAGGACAGAGAGAAAAATCTCCTGAAATCTGAAAGTCTAACTCCTTAAAGAATGAAAATATTGCAACCAGTGAACAAGTAGGTCCAATGACAGCATAGCCCACACATCTCCCTGAAGAATGAAGGAACAAGGTCAAGTGCACGGAGCTGCCACTGTCCTGAAGGGCAGGGAACCAGTTCCATAAGCCATTAGAATCAAGCTTTATCTAATATCATTTTATCTAACAGAGACCAGGCTCGACAAAGGAAAAGGATAATTTAGTATTCATTTAGTAAATAAATCTTGAGTGGCAATTTTACTCGTAATAAATGTGGAATTTCTTGTATTGTAATCTAATTCCTGTCATGTGATTTTTCATGTGTCTTACCTCCCACATACTAATTACGAACTTAAAATCTCAGTTTTGTATGCATTCTCCTTGTGCCTAGCGGTGTGCTTTCTGCACACTGTAGCCCCCTCCCAACCCCGAATGTATGTACACAAACTCACACACACATTAAAAATAAGTTGACTGAATGAAAAACACTTACTTCTATTTCCATATGAATACAGCTTGCTAGACCATCTCTTGCGATACCTTCTATGGTGTCCCTATTTAATCCGTAACTGTGATTACCATAATTAAACGTTAGAATAAATTTCCCCTGAAATTTGAGAAGTACAAAGATTTTAATATAACAGCTGTTATAATAAATTTAATATAAGGAAAATTATTTGATGTCTTACTTCTATATGACTCCATAAAACTTACCGATGTTAACAATTATATATGAATGGCAATAGGTCTATAAACGTTAATACCAAACTGTGATACAGAAATTCATTCAGAATTTTTGGTTGGTAAAAAAAAAAGTTTTTGGAAATAATCTGCTGACAAATTTTAAGGGAACATGAAATCACTGAAGCTTGATAGGACAGGTCATTTTGCTTACCTACTCACTTCCTGCCAAACCTGCACCATAAACCTTCATTACTGAGAGAGAAAAACTATAGTTCACCCTTTGCCTCAGCCATTTGGGCTACACCAGCATATCGGGTAGCTCAGAAAAAAAACTTACACTCTTAAAAGCCTTACATTCTCAGATAAGCCTGAAGGCCATGAATTACAGGGACATCCTAAACCTTTATATTCTGAGATAAGCCGTAAAAACCAGACCCATCCTATTTTTCCTTATAAATATCACTTTTTATTGAAACTGCCTAAGGAACTTTTGTGGGCCCTATAGTCGTGGGAAGTATAAACACTGCCCAGTTCTTCCCAAGCTATACTCTCCGGCAAAAAAAAAAAAAAAAAAGTAAAAATACATCTCTCAAAATTGTCTGACTTTTTTTGGACAATATCATGTTTATGAAACCACTAGGTCTAATTTAAATTAGAAGACTGATGACAACAGAAGGAATAAAAATGTGGACAATCCTGGCAACTCTGACTCTGCATATGCATGATTTTGAAATAAATAATGAAGTGAAATGCTGAAGGCTGAATCCCATCAAATGGCAGCATCTACCCTGAATGAGCCTCCTGAACCCGGATGTCCTCGAGACCTGTGAGGTGGGGGATGGGTCGTCTGTCATGGGGAAAGGGGCAGTGTTGGAAGGCCAGGAGACATAGGGTGGGATGGGTCTCTGGGGGACATGTCTGCTGCGAATGAGGAGGAAAATCCATCTCACACCCTGTAATCAAAAGAAGTTTATATCATGCATCCTAAAAGTGAAAAACTCAACCATAAGTATCCTTAATATTTTACTTCCTCAATGTCGTACCTTTTGTTCCGTGGAACAAATACTGTGATTCCTTTTTTAAAAAATACAGGTATTATATCTAGATAGATAGATGCCTGAATATTCTGTCAGGTACATACTTTATCTTGCTTACTGTGACTCAATCTCTTTTCAAAATGTACGCTTGAACCCTTTTTCAGATGTATACTATGAGATTGTTTACTTGTGTGTATAAGGGCCTCTCTCTGTGGGTTCCCAAGTGCATTTTCTGGAAGAATGTAGAGTTGGGAGGACTCTTGCATTGTACTTATGTATATAAATCACACTCTGTTAAACTGTTTATTTTAAGAATTAAGATTAAGTGATCTTTCAGCTTCTGGTTGGTGATACTCCTTTTGGTTCTCCCTGCCTGTGGATTTCTTAATAAGCAGCCATAATCTTATTTCAGAAGCCTCCAGATCTGAAGTCTTATTTCCACAAGAGAGGAAGAGTCTCTGCAAGTAAGTGACTGTGTGTATGTCTTTAAAAAGGGTTTGCGTGTCTGTCTGCAGGCATGTGTGTTGTGGGGGTGATCTGTGTGTGTCAGGGAGGAGTGTGTACATGGGAGGGTATGCGGGTCTCACGTGTACCTGTCAGAGCGGGTGGTCGTGACAGCCCACAGTAGGTGTGCAGGCGTGAGGTATGCCAGGGTTGCCCGTCAAGAGGGTGGGGCTGTAAATGGGGGAAGGGCAGGCTGCCTGGGTGGGTGTTCTGCCGAGGGAGGATCTGTGTACAGAAGGTTGAGTATGTGGGTGTGATGGGCTAAGTCAGCACTGTGTCATGAGCTTATGACCTCTAGGTTCATCTCTCTTCATAAAAGTCTCAAGCTCAGGTTAAAGAAAAGAGAAGGTGATCAGAAGCAAAATTCGAGTTGAAGGAAATTACATTATACTGAGGTAATATATGTTAGCAGAAGTGGTAAAAATGAGTATTTTTCAAACACATGAAGGTTTTGCAGAGGAAACGCAACTATAGGACTAAATATAGTATAGAAGCACAGTGATTTCTTTGACGAGGAATTGAACCAGACTTACTTGGTTACAGATAAGGTAGGGAACATCAGGGGAGCATATGGGTACTGAGAACAGTGCACTGAACCAAGAAAAAAATGCCTCATCCTCTAACTGAAGAAATTAACATTAATTTAAGGAACTAGTTGTCTTTCAACCCAAAGAGTCTTAAGAGGATGCTTCTTGCTAATGACAAGATAACTCCTTAAATCTCTATTAAAGCTTTTAGAAACATAAAGTCCCAGAGTGCTCTTGATACATTAAACCAAACTGTCAAAATGGAGCCCTAGGAGAGAAAGTTATAAAGAATTTCCAAGCAGTATTTTTGACAAGGTTAGAGGGAAAATGGCCCAGGGATTGTAAGACTTTCTCACTTAGGCTTCTCTGTAAATGTAAGAGTTACACCGCGTGTAAAGTTGGTCATTCAGACTTCAAACTCAGAAACTGCAGAGCCTCTGCTTAAATGTTCCATGGTTCTGTGCACTGCGGTATAGGCCAGGTTTATCATTTGGGGGTGGGGGCAGAGAAGGGAGGAAGGAAGGAGAAGGGGAAAGAGGGAAGGGGGACATAACTGTAAGAGCACCCTGGTTGGGTAGTGATCTTTCAAAAGCAGAAACATAGACTAATACTTAATCTGGTCCTTTGGTAGGCTTCAGAATAAAAAAGTGGTGTAGGATTCCTTTGGCGATAGGAAGAATGGTCATAAAAACAAAATTAAGGCCCACGGCGAGGAGAAAATAAAAGGCTTACAGATTCATCGGTGGTGATGAAGACAGGAGGCATTCTTTCAGTTTAACTGAAGTCATGGGTGGATACGGATTGACATCAGCATATACTTTTGACAGAGAAACTAGAGTGTGAGGATTCCCCTTGCAGGTGAAGGCCACGGAAGAACAAATAAATTATCTTTAAGAAAATAAACTTAGAAACAAGGGTGTTATGAATTACTACCAATTAGGTTATCGGTTTTCAGGAAAAAAATTCTTAACTGGCCCAGAGCTACTGCAAAAACAGACCAGTGCAGGGTAGTGACCCTCACATTGTAAAGACACAGATCTCAGAGAAGTTAGGGCTTCTTCAGGCTAATAACAGGGGCTCCCGGCTGTATTAGTGAGCGGCCTGGCCTCCAAGACTCAGAGCTTCTCCCACAGAGACGGTACGGTGGACGGTTGAGGCTGTATGTGTGTCCAGGAGAGGCCAACCGAATGGGACACACGGTGATGAAACGGTGCTTCAGGTCACAACAGGTAGAAAGCACCACTGAGAGCAAAGAGAAGGAGGGCCAGGGACAGGACACTCCGCCCTCAGAATGCTCAGCCCGCAGGCTGCGTGCCTAGCGTCAGGTCTGAGAACGGTCTGAGTAAAGTCTGATTAATAGCGGCACCTGATAAACACAGATCGCAAGAATTTTTCATCGTGCTTTTACTCCGATTTTCTTAAAATGTCTACTCATTCAGTCTCCTTGGAAATTTACAGTATTTTCTACACGATCATAAAAGAAAGCAGCGTGTGAACAGTGATGTACTAAGTGGGTTAAGAAAGAACAACCCAGTGAGAACACGTCTCTCATAACAGACAAAAGTGATTGTTTCCTTTTTAATTCACGATTATATCCTAATACCTTACCCTGATATCAATATCTTAATATTTCTACCAAAGAACATGTACTTCTTGTGCATCAAAAATAAAGGAGAACAGTCTTACCATGTTTACCATTTCATTAAAAACTTCTTGAGAGATAAAATGATAATCAACTCGATCCCCTTCTCCAAAGTAAGGGGGTCTTGTGGTGTGACAGGCTCTGAAAACATAAAACAGATAACCTAGTCTATATCTAATAACTGGAAATTCAAAATGGAAATGAGTTCAGTATAAAGCATATTTTTAAAAATCGAAATTGATCCATGAATCATAAATGATAAAGTAATGTAATTATGAAACCCCTATGGTTTTGAAATGCTAGACTACATTCAGCCACTATACCCTATAAAGATGGCAAAACATTTGGATTTTCCATACCAGATTTTTTACTTGTGGTTATTTATGATCTTCTGAAGCACCTCCTCTGCCATCTCATAAGAATGCTTTAGGAAGTGTGACAATGTTTAACACCAATATATTTTCCACCCGAGTGTTTTCATGTTCTCTCCAACCTGTGGACGTATTCTGCATGTTCCTCTCCCCATTCCCCCATCTGGCTGGCTCACCTGTCTTTCAGGACTCAGTTTAAGTGTTACCCCCCTAAAAAGCCTTTCTTGACCCCCTACTGCTGGACTGTGCACCTCTTCTTACCCTTAGCGCCTGCTACTGACTGTATCCTAATTCCCTGTTCAGGATCCCAGCTCCTCTGCTGCTTGAGGGCAGAAACGAGCTCTTTCATCTGAGCTGTCAGTATTTATCACGCTGGGTATGAAGTCCCTCAGGGAATCCGTGATTTCAGTGCTGAATGAAATTCTCAACTCAACCCGAGAGGCCTCTTCTAATTACTGTCTGAAATAGCATTCCCACCCCGCACCCCCAATTACTCCCTCTCTCCAAAACCACCTTCTTTTATCTATGTATCTGTTTTATTTTATTTTTTTCTCTGTCCCCAGCAGGACACATGAATCACGAGAGGAGGACTTTATTTTGTTCATCTTGTTTGCCACTGCATTTGCAATGCCTGGTCCATAGCGGGCACCCACTAAACATTTGTAAAACGAAGGAAGAAATGAAACGTGTGAAGTGGACAACAGCTGCAATGAACTCCATTTTACAGATGACTAGGAAAATGACTTGTCCAAGGCCACAGGGCAGGCCTGTGTCGGTCCCAGAACTAAACTGTGGGGGTTCCAATTAGCCATTCTGACTTCTCAATGTTAAGTTCTAGAAACGCAAACTGATTTTTAGATTATCCTGTAGTTTTAAAATAGGAGATGAGAAGAGTTAGACGCTTGGCATCTTATTTACCTCCCTCCTCCCCACCAAATGAGGTAGGTACTCCTTTCAGTTTGCAGACGATGAAACAGAGGCACAGCAATTACATAATGTGACCAAGCTGCAAGGCCACATGGCTCCGAAGTCAGTTCCTCTAACGATCAAACTAAGAGGGCAGAGTTGCAACCTCAAAAGCCCCTCTACTACGAAGTCAAAGACAAATACACTTTATAATTTATACCGCTGTTCATTTTCCTTTATAATCAAGAATGAACTACACTAGTAGATTTTAAGGTCTTAACATCGCATTTAAATTGCATACTCAGGAAAGGGAGTACATTCTAAGAGAAGACTGTCACATCCTCACGATGTCTGTTTTGTCGTCTGAATACGCTGGCATTTCTTTGTACACCTTGGCAGACACCTGGGACCCTCTGTCTACTGGCGTCCTTGGCAGTAAGGAAAAATCAGTCAGTGACTCGGCGTCAGACCCTTAGCACAGCCTTTACGTACACACTGCGCGGAACCTGCATTTCCCAACAAAGAAAGCAAGCGTAGGAACTGTTTCAGAATTTCTAAAAGAAAGACCAAGCAAGGAAGCCATGTGAAGCTTCTAGTCAGGTAAACAAAGAGATGGCTTCGCCGACGTGGAGAATACTGATGACAGAACCTGCACCCACTCTGGAGCTTGCTCTTAAGAAAGACCTAAGATACCCTGAGGATTTTTTAAGTCTGTCATCCAATTTTCACACACAGAAACATTCGCTGTGAAGTATACTGCCCCAATATGAACGTCTTAAAAAAGAACTATTTCACAGAGAAGGCAACGTTTCACTAAACTTAGAGAAAGACAATGCCAAATTTTAGGTTAAGAGATCTGCTTTAGTCATCATATTCCATATCCTGCCTCTCCATGTAAACATAATCTCAAGTATTATGGACATTTCCATGAGTTTATCCTTTACTAATTTACTAGCGAAGTCATGGTAAATTAGTTAAATCATGGTTTGTAATGGGAGCCATAGCCCCTCTTAGTTTCACTCAACAGACACAAGAAGGGAGCTGGAGATGAAGCCCAGGCAGCAATGCTGGCGCTAAAGTCTGAGTGAGTCAGACATTCTAAAGGCCAATTCATCAGGTGGCTGTCATCGAGGGTCCTCACAAACCAAGTCCACGGAGAGGAGGCCTTGGTCAGGAGGGGAAGGAGTCCAGAACGCCGGGCCAAATGATGGACTGCTCAAATTCCGAAGGAAATGTAACAGGAAGAAAAGATGGCTTACGAAGAGCTAGCAGGTGGATGAGGAAGTAGAAATTTTCTCAGTGTGATTCAGAAGCATGCAGATTTAGCATCTAAAATCTGGGCCAGATTGCCTCAGGAAATAATAAACTTCTTGTTACTGCAAATATTTAGGCAAAGGCTTGGCTGTGAGCGCATCTAAATTCAAGCAGATTACAGAATGCCATATTGTCAGTAAGTGAACTCTTTCAACGGGTACCCGCAACAGCCCAGGTATTCATAGGATATTTGGGAGGCAAGTTAAATTGGTCCTAATGCTCAATACAAATTACATCAGTGAACTGCTGAACACAATTTAAGAGATCATCAACATAGAAGATTCCAGCACTTCCTGTGTCTGAGTACCTCTGCCCACTTTCCAGTAACTACACATCACTCTCTAACTCACGCCATCATCACCTGTCACTACAGCCTAACTGGTCTCCTGGTCTCCAGCCTTCCCTCCCTAAGCCCGCTCCCAAACTGCCCACAGGGTGCGCTTTCTAAAATGCAGCTGTAATGATAACACACTCCTGCTTAGAGACCCTTTACAATCAGACCCCTATCGTTGCAGTTGTATCTCTGCCATCTCCCTTCATACTTCCAGCTTAGCCTTACTAGAGAGTGTACTTTCAGTAAATCAGATGTGTGTTATTTCTATCTGAAATGCACCCCGCTCAAGCCCCACGTCGCAGAGGATCTTGACGTTCCTCATCACAGCACCTATCAAACTAGGATCTTGTTAGGCAGCAGCTCCTTGTCTAAATCCCATGCTAGATTGTAAGCTGCCAAGAGGACAGGACCCATATCTGTTTGCTTTACAGTTTTATCACCGGCACATGGCACATGGAGGGTGCTCAATGAACACTGACTGACTGCACGAACCATTCTACTGGTTGTCGCATCTGTAGAAACAGACATAGTAGACTAGAGAAAATTTAAGTTGCTGTAGCTCATACCATCTCATTTAGTTAAAAAGCTGTGGTCTTTCACTTTGCTGTATTATAGTGCTAAAAGTAAAATATACTTAGTAGTCAACAACATGAAAAAGGTTATGATAATTGAGAGTGCTATAAAACAGCGATCTAAGGAAGAAGAATAAAGTGTTCTTTCATGACTATTCGGATCATTAAAATGGCCTTAAATCTAGAAGATGAACGGGCATGCTGGTATTGTTTTGCGTTTCCCTCATTATCTAACTCTTCCAGGAAGCCACTGATTTGTATGGTAATATTAAGGTTGGACATAGAGAGACTTTGAAGGTAGTAAATTCATATTTCTAGGCCACTAATAATACATTTAAACAAAGAACATCCGACCTACTCCTAAAACCGAAAACAAATAGTAAAATCAAACCCAAGATAAGAGCCCCATCTCTCAGCCACACCAACATTTGCTATATGACCGAGTTATGTTTTTAATATTTCTATATCTGGATATGCAACTTAGCATGTGAAAATTTCATTGAATGTCTTGGTTTGGGGTCAGTGCAATTTAAAAAGGAATACAAAATACCAGGAGAAAATGAAATAAATAGGAGAGAAAGAAAAAGCTTCAAGCAAACGACGGAGGAAGTACCTTGGTAAACGCTTATGTTCCACGATGAGATTGTATTCATGTCCCTTATCATTTAATTAAAAAACAATAAAACTTATGTAGGATAAAGAATACACTAAATCTAAACGTGAGCAATGACCCACCCCTGAGGGTGTGCTTTGGTTTATTTCTTCATTTTATTTAGAAAGGTGCTGCATATAATAGTAGTAATTACCTTAGTTTCCAAATAGATGAAATGATTGGCTACCTAATGCCCTTTTTCATCCAGTGATATGGTCTTTGATTCATTCCTTGATGGAAGTCTTAGAGTGATCTGCCACTGAACAAGCCCTGCTCTCTGCCTCCCTGAAGATGCCAGTGGGTGGCTGGCCAATGCTCTGAACCTGTGAGGGAGGGGGTGAGTGAGTGTGTAGTTGGTCGTGGGCACTGAGGAGTGTCTTTTGACGTGCCACTAATTCCATCAGGAGGAGGAAAATAGCAGTGGCAGCATCAGCAGTATGGAAGCATGAAGCTAATTTTAGGATTTACGTTTTGCCATCTTGCGCCTCCATGCAAACTGCACACAACACGATTTAAGGTCTGAGTTCCCGACTAGATCACACATTTCATCAAGGACCTCACCAATCTTGTTCTCACTGCATCGTCAGGGCCTAGCACGTGGGAGAGACTCAATAAGTATTTGCTGAAAGAATGGATGAATAAATGAATGAATCCACCCATCTCTCCACTTATCCATCAGTGTGGGTCAGGGGGAATCACTTGTGTTTCTTATCACAGTAATTTCTCACTAAATATTGTATACAATACCATTAATTCATTCATCTATCCATCCATCCACTCAACCGGTTAGGCATTCATTTAACAAATATTTACCAGGCATGTATTAAGTACCTGGCTACCTTCTGAGCACTGAGAACTCAGTAGTGACATTGAACTCAATGTTGACATTGTTCTCTACCCTTGATGAGCAAGGAAAACAGACATTAAATAGATCAATTACAAGCACGAAGGATAAGCATTCGAACAGGGAAAATGCAAACTTTAATGAAAGTAAATAATGGGTTGGGGGGCTATCCAGATGAGCAGATTGGATCAGAATCTTGGTGATGAGTTAATAAACACCTCCAAGAACACATCTGACCTAGTGCGCCTCAGCAGTGCACAACACAAACAAATAAGGAGGACTGGGCCACCGACCATCTGCAGCATAATTGGTACCCAAGATATGAAAGGAACTCTAATCAGAGAAAGCCGTGGTTCTCCTCCCTTTGCTTTGCTAAAGGGTCCAGGTTTTCATACTAGCACATAGTCAGGCTCCATCCTTTGCCCTAGTCTGACCCTCCATTCTTTGCATTGCACTTATCTTTTAAAACAGGTTCAGCACCACCATATGAGCATAACGACACGCTGCACTTTTTTATTCTAATAGTAAGCTTTAATTTACTTTTGTTACTTCAGGGTGCTTAAAATACATTAATGAATAAATCATTCCATAGTCGTCGTATCCCAGGGTTGTTCAAACGAGGAACGCGATTTTAGATCTCGAAATAAACGGACCTGTTGAAAACAGGATTTACATTGTTCAAGCACGTGTAGCTCAAGGGCAGGGCCTTTCCCGCAACAGCATTAGAAAATAATTTGCATTTATTTTTCTTGCTGTCTTATCCATGTATCTTTGCAGTCACATCCCCAGCTCACTAATAAACCTTACTAATCTAAAAGTAATTTCTTTGACATACAGAAAAATAAATAAATAAATAAATAAATAAATAAATAAATAAATAAATAAATAAATAAGGAAGCCAGTTTAAAGGACCACAGCAATCATTCTAAATCTGATTCTGTAAATCCAACTGAAGGTTTTTTTCCAGATGGTTTTAGTTTTTTTTTTGGCAGGGGGATGGGGAGGGGGCATTTCCTCTATTTTAACTGGGTCATTAGGGAATCACGTGGCAGAATATTTGCTCCAGAAAACTAAAAGTCTACTGAATGCTAACCTGAGGGGAAGGAAAGGGAAGGCACCTGTTGGC